TCTCTCTCTCTCTCTCTCTCTCTCTCTCTCTCTCACACACACACACACACACACACACACACACACACACACACAATGTTGCCTAGGTTTGGACTCCAGCAGAGAAGATGGATTAATCAAATAAAAACAGATGCATGAGGGCCAGAGCTGTAGCTCAGTGGCACAGCGTTTGCTTAGCACATGTGAGGCACTGGGTTCAATCCTCAGCACCACATAAAAATAAACAAATAAAATAAAGGCATGCTGTCCATCTATAACTACAAAAATTTTTAAAAAACCACAAAAAAAAAAAAACACAGATGCATGAACAACTGAGATTGTGACAAGAGCTCTGAGAAGCTCATGGTATTCAGGAGAACATAATAGAGGTCCTCAGGAGGTATCCCTAAGAAACTAATTAATAAAATAATATTTCCCATGAGGAAATGAGAAGTTAATTAATTTTTCCAAAGGACTAAGTGTGAGAATGAGGATTTGAACTCAGACAGTCTGATTCCAAACTCTTGACTACTATACAACACAACTTCTCAAGAAGCTGACCTCTCCAGTGAAGAACTACATCTGCAGACACTAAACCACATTCTAGGCTGGGTGAGAATAAGTCCCAAGAGCCTAAGGGAGAAGGGAACATGATATACTTCAAAATCTAGAAACCCAGCAGAGCTAGAGCACAGAAAACCAGGGAAGAGAGATAGGGGATGGGGATGAGGCTGGAAATGAAGGAAGAAAGGTCAGAGGGAGGAAGGGAGGGATAAAGGAAGAAGGAAGGGAACAGCCAGGAGAGGTGTTGGTCAGAAAAGAGCTCAGATGGAGGGGTGCACTGTGCCAGCATAAGGAGTCTAGTCTTTATCATTCTAATAGCAATGACAAGCTAGTGAAGGATTTTCAGGGGACAAGGGTGATGTGATCAGATTTGCATTTCAAAAAGATTTCCCTGGCTGCAGGTGAGTCTTGAGCACAAAGCCTACTGAAGAGGTCTGGTAAGGCAGTGTGAGGCCCAGATGAGACCAAAGATATTATTAGCAAATGAGGAAAAGCAGGCAAATTTTAATACACTTGGCTCATCTCCGAACCCTGCTTCTCTCAATCCCGATGTCCCCATTTTTGAGTCCAAACTCACCTTCTCTGACAGAGCTTCCTCTAGTGTCGCCAGCGCAGTATCTGTGTTACTGGAATCTGTCTGCAAGGACTTCACTCTGTCTTTCAGATTGGTCAGTTGCTTGTCTTTATCCCTAAGTTGTTCTTGCAAGTTTTCAATCTAAAAATAAAGATCATCATATTTAATGTATATTTTATTACATATCAAGGGCCAACATTCCTGAAGTGAATCTACTTTTTAAAAATAGACCTGAGATTATGGACATTTTTAATATCACAAAGGTACATTTTGACTCAGACTCAAGGACATTCCGAGGAGAACTTCAATTATTTCATTTAATTCAACTTTGTATTCAATGACAATACAGATGAGCAGAAAGTCTTCTTCCCATACAAATGCAAGCCTACAGGACATGTAAGCACTATATTTCTTTCCCTTTTCTGGACATTTATATTTTCAGTCCATAGACCTAACTTTGGTTCAGTAAACTAGAAAAATGTTTACACAGGATTATTTCATTCATTGAACAGACATTGACTGGGTGCCAATTCTGCACCAAGTACCATATCAGTATATGGCTGAGCCCATGTAGTCATTGACTAACTCCTTTATTCAGTATTAAACTTTGTGATATACCAAATGTTGTCAAGTGGCTGTTTCAAAGTAACCACATGAAAAGCCAAGTAGGTTATCACCAGCAGACTGTTAATGGGAAGAACTTGTGATATAAGTCATATGTAACAAGTGCTAAACACTCCATTTGGCAACTAAGTCCTATCCTGGCAACCAACCAGCCACTTTTATCTAGTATCTGCAGCCTGAAATAAACACACCGAATAGCCGATTATAACGCCTGCCCGGCAGCAGCAGCAAAGACCTTCTCCTGGGCATTGCGTCCATTATCATTCATGTTTTTATTCTCTGCTTTCAAACCATGTATTTCTTATCTAAGGATTTTTAAAAAAGCCTCACTATACAAACAATTTATTCGTATTAAGGGTTTTAAAATGACAAGGAAAAAAAGCAGTACAACTCTAAGATAAGTCCATTCAAAATATTTGTATTCTGCACCCAGCTTTCTCAGGGAATCATTCCAAATGCATGTTTCACAATGTATGACTCAAGCAAAGTTTTTTTTTTTTTATTACTTGATTCTTTAAGCATGAATCCAGAATGGCAACACAAATAATGCAGTTAGTAGCATTAATAATGAGTATCCACAGGTCTGAGCATCAAAATAACTCTAAAAGCAAGATAATTACTTTGCTGACCATTGATCTACAGATAACGGGCTTGATTAAATTTTTCAATAGTTACAATGGACATAGGCTAACAAAGAAGGGATGCTATTCTTTACTTCCCCTCTTCCAACATCCTTCACTTTCTCCCTTCCACTTTTCCTTCCTTCCTTTTCCTTCTTATTTTTAAATTTATTTTTCATTTTAGATGGACAGAATACCTTTATTTTATTTATTTTTTAATGCAGTGCTGAGGTTTGAATCCATTGCCTCACACATGCTAGGCAAGTGCTCTACCATTGAGCTACAACCCCAGCGCTCCTTCTGTCTTGAGACAGACCTCTTGGAAACCCAGCTTATAGGTTCATATAAATAACTCTGTCCTTCATGGAAACACAAAGTGTTCCCTCCCATCCAGTCACCACTCTGAGAATTCACTGCCTTTCCACCAAAGACACAAGAACTCAAAAAGCAGTAGCATCTTCAGGCAAAGGCTTCTTCCTCCTTTCCAGACAAGTGTTCATGTGCTTTTTACACAACACAGTAAGCAAATATATGTGTGAGAATGTGAATATTCATGTGTTTGAATGATAGTAGTTACATGGAAAAAGTCACGAGCTGAGAGGGACTGACTTGTAGAAAGAGTATACATTATTACCTTGAGGATACCCACACCTGTGGGTACATTTTTGTATGCATATGTGTGCAAAGACATGGGGCTTGTGAGCAAACCGACCAGGCCTGCCATTCCCATTCTGAGACACAGTGCCCTGAGCAGGGGAAGGGAGATTTACCCTCTGTTCATTAACCCTGGAGCAGTGGCAGGCACTGATTTAAAGGGGACTGTGGGTACTGAAAATAAAGGCCAAAGGAGACTATAAGCTTATGGTACTGCTATGGGCCTTCCATATAACCAGAAAGACTACAGATGCTGGGATCCCACTGGAATTGCAGTGGGGTCTGAGAGACATGTGGGACGGGGGGGGGCATTTATCTATTTATCTCAAATCTAAAATGCCAGTAAAATAGCCAATAATACTTCAGGCAAGACTAAGAGTCTTCAAGAAATGCTACACAAAGATCAAGAATGATTCTTAAGAGAAAATCTAAACAAGGTGTAGAATAGTACAGAGTTAATTGCATAAATATATATAAATCTGTAAATAGATACCTATGTAGGAGGGATCTCAAGAAATTTTAACCTTTGAGGGAAGGCTCTAAGAGGTAAGAGGTAGGAGGTAGGGGGGAGATTCTGGGTTTCATTTTTTCACATTTCTGTAGTTTTCTGCTTGATTTTTATAACCTTATGGGGTTTTAAGTGCCAACCAGGGTTATTTGGCAGGTATGACTATGAATTATTTTTAGTTTATATTCATACATAAAAATAAATATTAAACAGATGAGTAAATAATAAAACAACATACTGGGTGCCTGTAATCCCAGTAACCTGGGAGGCTGAGGCAGGAGGATCACAAGGTGAAAGCCAGCCCCAGCAACTTAACTAGGCCCTAAGCAACTTAGTGAGATCCTGTTTTAAAATAAAAAATTAAAAGGGCTGAGGATGTGCCTCAGTGATAAAGCACCCCGGGTTCAATCTCTAGTACCTCACCCCACCCCCTGAAATAAACACAAATTAACACAAATCCCTACTTCCCTAATCAAAACCAAACTGTCCAAGTGCTGTGGTTTGGGAATGGTTCATTCCTCAGAGGTTATTATTGTGTCAGAAACTTGGTCCTCTGCATGGTGGTGTCCAGAGCTGGTGAAGGCTTTAAGAGTTAGCCTAGAAGAAGGTGATTAAGTGTTTGGGGCACTACCCTCTCCTCCCCACTTTTTAGGAAATAGTGATCCTCCAGTTTTGTGTAACTAAATTCTTAAAATTTAAATTTTAGGAGATGGCAGAACGAAAAATTTTGTATCTTTTACAGAATTATTGTACAAGTTCTCAAATTTTCTTTCTCGCCCTCTTTCTCTTTCTCTCAAGTTTGGATAAGCCATAAGGCTAAGGTTTGAGTCAGTCACTTCCCCAGTTTGGTCCATTCAACTCTTTGTTACCAATCTGTGAAAACTTCAGAAATCAGGAGTGTTTATTCATCACCCAAAGATTCAAGAAATACTTGTCAGCTTGTCACCATGAGCAGCACACAGCAAGTTTTGGTGTGTCAAACTCATGTATTGTATGTGGACAGAGGCACAGACTGAACATATATACACAGTAGGATCACATGTTGCTCCAAGACAGCTTAGAAATTTAAAAAAGGAAACATTGCTGAGGAAACATGAATTCATAGGTCTCCTAATCTTACAGGCCTTCAGAAATACTGTTTGCAGAAGGCCAAGGATATTCACTGAGTGAAAAAAACCCACCCTTGTGTGGGTGAAGGGGACATAGACCCCAGCAACAGACCCACCCCTGGCACCAGGTTGGACCCTGGGGAGTTAAGCTCCAGGCTCCAGGTCTACTCCTGTAGACACAGGATCTACAAATTCCCTGGCAAAGAATTCCAAGTCAGTTGTTGCTAGTAGAGGGTCCACTAAACCACAGATTTAAAGACAAAGATTAAAATCAATCCACTGCATTTATTTTCTATTGTTGCCTAGCAAACCAACACAATCACAGAAGCTTAAAATAGTATAGACTTATTATCTCACAGTCTGTACATCAGAAGTCTGAATATGGCATACTTGGTTTTTCTGCTTAGGGTTTCACAAAGGTATTATCAAAGAATCAGAGGGGCTGAGTTCTAATCTAGAATTTGGAGTCCTCTTTCAAACTCAGGTTTGTCTCTACTCAGGAGCTGTCTCTAGCCAGAGGTTGCTCTCAGCTTCTAGAGGCTGCTCTCAGGTCCTTATCAAATAGCCCTCTCTATCTTTAAAATCAGCAACAAAGCACTTCTTGGATGTCAAATCTCCCTCCTTTTATGACTTCCCTGTCTCTGACCTCTAGACCTAGATTTACAGTGATCACGGGCTTAGGCTAGGCCTACCCAGATAAAGTCCCTTTTGATTAGCTCAAGGTCATGTGAGTAATCACCTTAGTTATATCTGCAAATTCTGTTTTGCATAAAATGTAACCTAAACAAAGGCACCAGAGGCACCCCAGAGGTCATCCCAGATTTTTGCTTTCTATACCCATGCTGGAAGTTCTTTTAGATACCTTAAGAAGATTCTGTAAGAGAAATGTTTCCAAAACTGAGGAAATAATTCTAATGTGATATGTGACATTTTAACATGGCATTTCTGATGCAGCCATTTTAACAATAAAAATTAAAAAAAAAAAAAAACTTGCAGTCTTTCCAGAAACTCAGGTAGTGAAGTATGGGGAGAAAGATACCCCTTGTGTGGTGAAGGGGACATAGACCCCAGCAACAGACCCACCCCTGGCACCAGGCTGGACCCTGGGGAGTTTCCAGGCCCATTCCTGTAGACACAGAATCTACAAATTCCCTGGCAAAGAATTCAAAATAATAATCTTGAAAAACCTCAGCAAGATGCAAGAAAACACAGAGAGAAAACTAGAAGAAACCAGGAAAATCATATATGTGAAAAAAAATGGAAGTTCAACAATTAGATAGAAATTATGAAAAATAAAATAAACACATTCAGGAGCTGTAGAACACAATGACTAAATTGTAAAATCCCAGAGAGATTTAACAGCAAACTTAATACAGTCTAAGATAAATCAGTGACTCAAAGAAATTATTCTCACAGAAGTACCAAGAGAAAAATGAAGGAAAAAGTTGGGAGAAAAATGCCTCTTAGACTTTCAGGACACAATCAAGGAAAGTTCCAGAAGAAGCAGAAAGAGAAAAAGAGGCAGAAGATTATTCAAAGAAATGACAGGAAACTTTCCAAATCTGGAGAGGAAAGTAAACCTCTAGGATCCATGAATCCCAAAGAATTCCCAATAGAGTAAATATA